CTCTGAGTTGTCTGGGCACCCAGTCAACGGCTCCAGAGGACCAATGGGTGTCCCCTGCCCTTTTTCACCTATCAAACACCCACACAGCACAAACATTAGGCATTTATACACACAACACAGAACAACAATCACACAGCCACGCGCACAACCACCCTATACGGTACCCACACGCACACGACACACACACACACACGCACACACACACAACGCACCTCCTTCCCTGTCCTCTTCCCTGCGCAGCCGGCAAGAGCTCGCTCATCAATGCAATGAAGCGCGCCGGCGGCACCGGCGGCCGCGGCGAGCCGACCGTCGCACCCGTCCCCGGCACCACCCTCGGCCTGCTGCGCGTCCCGGGGCTGCCCCTCGGCCCCAAACAGCGGGTGTTCGACACGCCCGGCGTGCGGCACGCGTACCAGCTGACCTCGCGGCTTCCGCTGGAGGATGTCATGATGGTGCTGCCGCGCCGCCGCCTCAAGCCGCGCACGTGGCGGCTGGGGGAGGGCTCTTCAGTCCTCATCGGCGGCCTCGCGCGCGTCGACGTGGTGACGTCACCGGGGCCGACTCTGTACCTCACCGCGTTCGTCAGCGATGACGTCACCTGCCACATGGGCAAGACGGACGGCGCGGAGGAGCGGCGGCTGCGGCACGCGGGCGGCGCGCTCGTGCCGCCGAGCAGTGGCGCGGCGGCGCTCGAGGCGCTCGGCCCGCTGGCGCCGCGCGAGGCGGCGGTGGAGGGCGGCACGTGGGAGCACAGCAGCATCGACGTGGCGATCGCGGGTCTGGGCTGGGTGGCGGTCGGCGTCAAAGGCGAGGCCAAGCTGCGGGTGTGGGCGCCGGAGGGCGTCGCGGTCACCGTGCATGACTCACTGGTGCCCGATTACGCAAAGGACTTCCAGCGGCCGGGGTGGAGCGACCTGCTGCCGGCCAAGAGCCGGGAGCGGGTGGCGGAGGCGGCGCGGAAGCAGGCGCAGCAGCAGCGGGAGGCCGGGGGCGGCGGAGATGGCGGTGGCGGTGGCGGCGGCGGCACGGAGGGGTCGGGCGGCGCCGAGCCTGCGGCCGGCGACGCGCGCGGCGAGCGCAGCCGCGAGGCTGCGGGCGTCGGCGGCGGGAGCAGGGGTGGTGGCGGGAGCGCGGGCGGCAGGGGCCGCGGCGGCAGGCGTGGGGCCGCCCCGGCGCGCAGCAAGAGTGGGCGCGGCGGCAGTGGGGCGCGGCGCACGCCGTAAAGCGCTGGAATTGCCTAGGTGTGAAACAAACCAGGTCAGCCTATGCCGACCCGAGCCATCCTGTCACATTCTCAAGCTGCTCCCCTCTGCCAATTTCGATGCTCCTACTCAACCTGCTGTAATGCTGCTGCTCATGTGTAGCGTGCTCCACCACCCCCCTCTTGCCCTGTGCGCCGCGACGCCCGCGACCCCCTGGCATTGACACACCCGTCGATAGCATTTGCTGGAAACACAGGTATTGGATTGATCACAACGGGCAATCAGGGAAAGGCCGCACGGCTGCAGGGCCAAAAGTTTTACTACAGCCGTCACGCACAGCCGCAAAATCGGCGCTGTCAGGACGCCTGCTGTCGCATCATGTTTGACGCAAGGCGTGACCCCCTGGACGTGTGGCGATGCTTACAGCTGATACTGTAAGCCACGCGCCAGTATGCCCCTAGCTTAGCTCCTGAACGGCTGTGTGGGCGGTTTTGGGCACCCTGATGTTGCCCTGCATCCTCGTCATCACGATGGTCCTCAGCCTTGGACCTACATCAGCGGCAAGGAGTCCAGCCGCTTGATTGCCCCGTAACGTCGCTATTTCCCTGGCAATCTCTCTGATATGAATTACTTCTGAACCAGGTCTTCTCCTGACAGCCGCGCGAAGATCCCAATCTACTTCTTCATAGGACCGGGATTTTGCCGTTGAAGATCCCATATTCGCTCACCATATGCACTACTGGATCGATATGCATAATTCACTGCTTCGTTCGGCTCTGTGGTGGCTCGCCCTTTCCACAGTATCTCTCCTCATCTCTTCGCGGGTCCTTCTGCACGCCATCGAGGCGCCCGACACGGCATGTGACGTGAACGGGGTGGGCAGCACGCCGTGGTGGTGCCAGGAAGCGATTCAGCTCGCAGCAGCGCTGTCGATGCGTGCTACCAGCGTCACGCAGCGGGCGGGAGTCATCGTGGGCGACACGCTGCGGCTGCAGGCAGCTGCAGTGTCCAGTGCGCCGCACGATCTGGGGCTCCTCTGCGTCATCCTGATCGCGCATGCTGCGCTGGGCATGCTGCTGCTCGAGGCGGCGCTGTGTGCCGCCGAGCGCGGCCCTCCGCTCGCCCGCAGCGCTTTTCTCGCCGCCCGTGCCGCCTGCCCTGTCGCGGCCCGCCTGCTGCCCGTTGCGGCCGCGACGGTGCCGGTCAGGCATGCCCCTGCCGCGCGCTCAGTGCTCGTGTTCGCCGTCACACAGTGGTGGTGGAGCGCGCTGTGGGGCCTAATCGCCCTGCTGCACAGGGTGAGCACCTCCCTTGACCCCTCTGCAGGCGCGCCCTCGTTGGCGGCAGCGTCCCTGCTATCAAACACAGCGCCAGTGCTGATGGTCCACACTCTTTGCTTGAAGCTGCTTGCACATGTCCAGTCAGCAACAGCCAGAATCTAGGCTTGCATGCGTGCATGTATAATTGCAAGGACCCTGCGCATGTGAATGCATTCGCAAATGCGGCCACATCCTCCCACCACATTGACGTGCGGCCTGCGCCCCCTCTGCCACCCGCCTGCATGCAGCCCCTCGCCGCCCAGGCCGCCACCGGCGTGGCGCAGGCCCTGATCACGTGGGCGGTGCTGTCCCATGCCGGCGGCCCTGGGCCCCAAGGCGACAGCAGCACACACGACGCGCCGCTGCCCGCCGCCCTCCTGCTCGACCACTTAGTCATGGCGGTTGTGGCCCCCGCGATCACCACGTGGGTGCTGCAGCGCCACACACTCGCAAGCAGCGCGACGCGCCAGCTGGCGGCGGGCGGCACTGGCCGCCTCGCGGGCGGCGGCGTGCCAGCGCGGGCGCTGCACGATCCCGGCAGCAGCCAACCGCGGACGCTGCAGCGCGCAGCTGCCGCTGGTGCTGCGCCCGCGCCGCGGCGGCAGCAGCAGCCGCAACCAGAGCCGCAGCCGCGTGAACGGGAGGAGCGTCCCTCGTGCTCAGCGCAGCAATCGTCTGTGCACGCCCACGAGAACGTCGTCCACACGCGGCACCAGGCCCCACCCCGGCAGCGGCAGCCTCGACAGCCGCTCGGCCGTCAGCCGCCTCAGGCGCAATGGCAGCCGCAGCTGGACGCCGCGTCCCTGCCCCGCGCCGGCACGCCTGCCCCTCACGAGGAGCCCTTCCACGATGGAAGCAGCAGCTGCAACGCGATCACATTTGCAGCTGCCGTCGCTCCAAACTCGTCCGTCGACGGCGGCTCCGCCCTCGCACCATCCGCCGGCGCACCCCCAATCCTCGGACCCCAGTCCTTTCCTGCCAAGGCACCCAGCCCGCAGCCCGCCACCGCGGCAGCCCCGCTCATGCACGCCACGCCAGCGGCAGACGTTTCCCCACCAGCGGGCGTCGGCAAAAGCGCGCTGGTTGTGGCGCGCGTTGTGATCGACCGCAGCGCAGCCGCCGCGCCTCGCAGCCACTTGGACAGCGGCAACCCCCCGCAGCACGAGCACGCATGGCTGGGGGACGCAGGGCTGCAAACAGCGGTCGCGCCGCAGGAGCCGCATCAACAACAGCAGCAGCCGGAGCAACAGCAACAGCAACAGCAGCAGCAGCAGCAGCAGCAGCAGCAGCAGCAGCCAACGTCACCGCCAGTGACCATCGATCTTGCAGGCATAGTGCAGGCCATCCGGCATGGCGGCGCAGCCGCGCCCCAGCCGAGCGCATGCCTGTACTCGAGCCCCTCCAAACACTTCACAGTCAGCGTCAAGGTGCGCTGCCGGCCCCCGCTTGAGACAGTGCTCGTGCCCTGTCCAGGGTGCCATGAGAGCCGATGTCTCGCCCCGCTTTAAGGCCGCCGCGCGCGCGCTTGCAGCGTGGCGCCCGCCGTATGATGCGGTGTGGTGCACCTTGCTCGGCGCTCGCATGCAAATACATGCATGTATGTATGTATGCATGTGTACATATACACATGATTACATGTGCACACATGAATACATGTCCATGCACATGTGCATTCTTGCTCCTCAACTGGTAGACCCTCCACCACGTCACGCAGGTCCCATTGGACGAGCTGCGGCAGCCTGACGCTGCCGGCGACGCCAGCAGCTCTGGAGCCTCGTTCCCAGGCGGCGGCGGCGGCGGGGAGCTCCGCCTGAGCGCGCTCGTGCGGGACGCCCTGCTGCGCCAGCTGCGCCTGCCGCCTTGCGCACAGTGCGCCGCCGTCGTCAGCCCCATATCTGCGCTGCCCGGCTGCACGCAGCTGCTGCTGGTCCTGTCCCTGCCCGCGGGCGCGCCGGCGCCGCGGGCAGAGGGGCTCCTGCGCGAGGCGCTCGCGGGGCCGCTTGGCGCACGGCTGGCGCGCGACGCGGGTGGCGGCGGCTCGCACGGCGGCGGCGATGCGGCCGGGGCGCTGCGGGTCGTGGCGCAGGTTGGGGAAGAGGCGGTCGCGGCGACGGCGAGCACACAGCTAAGCTGCTTAGATGCGGGATCCGCAGGCCCGCACCTGCGATGGTCTGTTGCCCCCGAGCCTCCGGCGGCGGCGCCAGTAATCGGGGCCTGCTGGGCGGAGCCGGCCGCAGTCCTGCTGCCAGAGGGCGAGGATGAGGGACGGGGCGCCGATGGCCGGCGCCCAGGGTCGGCTTGGATTGAGGTGCGAGGCGTTCCGGCTGTGTGGCTGAGCGCTGCGAATGGCCGTGCAAACGAGGACAGAAACAAGAGCAGCGGTGGCGGCAGCGGCAGGGAAGGGGAGGGAAACGGCGGCGGCGGCAACGACAAGGCGGCGCCCGTGGCGCCGAGGGTGGTGGTTGTGCAGGGCGAGCGCGTCCTGCTGGACTCCAGGGCTGGGGCGGCGGTGGCTGCAGTGCCTATTGCCGCCATGGAGGGCGGGTCTGGTGTCGTCAGGTGCATGGGTTGAGGTCGGTAGGCCATGCGGCAGCTGCGTGCCTTGGGTGCATGTGTGGGACCTGAGGGGGCGGCCGGGCCGCTTGTGATGGGGGCAGGCTGTGTGTTGTGTCAGGCTGCCTGGCAGGCTGTGTGTTGTGTGGTGGCGCTCACGTGCCCACGTCCGCCGCCCGTGCGCAAACGGCCTGCAGGGTGCCCCTCGATTGCAACAGTCTGCGGCCCGGTGCCGTGTGGCTACACCTGCTCGACCGCGGCCCCAAAGGCAGGGTGAGACGGCTGTTGCTGCAGGCCTGGCACCCCGGCGCGTGCAGGTGTTGATTCTGACATCAAGCCTGATATGCACACGTCAAAATTCTGTAGCTGCACGAGTGCACGCACACATACCAGGCTTGGCTTGCCCACCTTTCGGTCATTCAACCCACCTTGTGGGCCCCCACAGGTGCTTGCAAGCGTGCCTCTGCTCGTCCTGCCCGCGTCCGACGCAGCGGCCCACACGCAGCTGCTGCAAGCGGCTGCCGAGGCGGCGGCCGCGCGACGCGTGCCATATGCAGTGTACCCCTCCTGCGCAGCACGGGGCGTGGCCCCGCCACCTGACGCGTCACCCTCGGCCGGTCGTCACGCGGGCGGCGGGGCCTGGTCGGTCGTTCCCGCAGCACCTGACGCGTGGGCAAGCCTGCCTGAAATTTCCCCGACGCTGACGCCGCCGCTCAGCCCGCAGCCCTGGCACCCCGGCGCCGCAGCCGCGCCGGGCCCCACCGCCGTCACGCCGCGCGGCGGAGGGCGCCCTCGGCGGCCGCCGCTGCTCTCACCGGTGCGCGGGCTGGCGGCTGGGTTCGGGGACGCGTGCGCATCTCTGGGCGGCTTCTTCACGCCGCGGCGCCGCCTGCCGCCGATAAAGGAGGCCTCTTTCAATACCATGGCCAGCGGCGCCAGCGCCGCGACCGCCGACAGTGGCGCCGCGTCCGGCGCGGCGCGCCAACCGGGCACGCCGGGCGCCGGCGGCACGCCTGGCGCCAGCGCGCAGCCACGGGAGCTCACGCTCGGGATGCCGTCGTCGCCGCTCGCCGGCTTGCCTGCTGGCGGCGTCGCAGCTGCCGCCCTGCCGTGGCCTATCGCCGAAAGCGGCTCCCGCCAGCCGCTGCAGGCAGCGGGGGAGCCCCTGTTCCACTCCGGCTCGCCTGTGACGCCTCGCGATCAGACTGCTGGCGGGGGCTTCCAGACGCTCGGACCACAGAGGTCAGGCAGCCCCGGGCCACAGGCAGGCCCCGCCTTGAGCCTGCACACGCATGCGGCGTGCTCTGGGCATATGCTCGCCGACGGCACCAGCTGCGGCGACCCCGACGACGCCCCGCGCCGCGACGAGCGACCGCAGGTTGCGCTGCAGCCCCCAAGCTGCTGCCCGGACGCCGCGCCTGCGCTCCCAGCGCTGGGAGCCATCCTTGAAGCTCCTCCAATCGAGCGCCCGGCGGCAGCTGCAGTGGCGGCCGGCGGCTGCAAGGACGGGGAGGGAGCGCTGCTGCTCCAGCCACTGGCGGCTGACGTGGCGGCCTGCCTGTATGGGGAAGCTTATGAGAGACAGGCCGCCAGCCCGGGCCCGAGCGCGCCGCATATAGAAAGCTTGAGTGGCGCGGGCGACGCAGGGCTCATTGCGCGGGTGTCCAAGGCGGCGGCCGCGTGGCTCGCGGGCCGCTGGGGGATGTGGGACGCGGCCGCGGGCGTGCTGCGGCGCCTGGCCGGCGCGGGCGGCGCCGCGGGCGCGGCGCTGACGGCGGCGGCGCTGCGGGCGGCCGTGGCTGCGGGATCCGGCTTGGCGACGCCCCCGCGGCGGCCGCAGCAGCTCCAGCAACAGCAGAAGCAGCAGCAGCGGCAGCAACAGGAGCAGCTCTGTAAATTGCTCATTCCCCTGCACTACCCATCAACAGCACCCAGCATGCCAGCCGCGCCCGCAGCCTGCCCCGGGCCCAGCACAGCCTATGAGCACCCCCACCTAAGCGGCGCGCACCCCACGCATTGCGCCGAGCCCGCGCCGGCGCCGGCACCGGCGCCGGCCAGCCGCGCGGCCCGCACCCCGCGCCACCACGGCACCGCGCGGCACAGGGTGCAGTGGCACGTGCTCAGCATCCCTGCCGACGGCGCCGAGTGCCGGCTCGTGCCGGGCTCGGCGGGCGCGTCATCATCCGGCCTTACAGCATTCAGCAGCGACGGCAGCGATGCGCTCTTCGGCGGCGCCGGCGGCGGTGCTTTCAGTGCGGCCCTTTACAGCGGCACGGCACTCGGCGGCGGTAGCAGCGCGGGGTGCCACCCCCTGCTGGGTGCATCCTGGGACGGCGGCGCTGTGAGCAGCGGCGGATTTGCAATGAGCGGCGGCTGCGCCTGCGGGGAGCAGCGGCGCGTGCGGCGCAGCAGCGTGTCCAGCGTGC